GAAAACATCCTGTGCAATGACTCAGACTGAGACTGAAAATAAAAAAGTCTTTCGCAATCAAGCCACTCAAGTCAAGCTTCCTGATTTAACATTTTTTGATGTGACGAATGATTCAGAATTGGCAACTATTATACAGGTCTTGTGGATGCAGAAAAGTTTTCATGTTTATTTGACGAGTTTTCTGAGGTTCATGACAGGGACTATCCAACATCCAATATCGGACGCCCTAAATCTTTGTCTTTGATAGACGAGTTCTTTCTAGTGTTGATGCGTCTTAGACTTGGACTCCTAGTTGTTGATTTATCAAAGCGATTTCATATTTCCAGAAGCTGCTGTGCTGATGTCATTAATAGATGGATTGATATTTTGTACAACAATTTATCCTTCCTAGTTGTCTGGCCATCAATGGATACTATTAATACAACTATGCCTCAAGGTTTTAAAGACCTGTATCCAAATACAAGGGTTGTTATAGATTGTACAGAATTATTTACAGAAAAACCTTACTCTATTGGTAAACAGTCACAAATGTACAGACATTATAAAAGTCACACAACATTTAAAGCGCTTGTTGGTGTCACTCCAAATGGTGTTGTTAGCTTTGTCTCTGACTTGTGGTCAGGAGCTATAAGTGACCGGCAAATAACAGTAGAATCAGGACTTTTAGATTTGTGTGATGTAGGTGATGCAATCATGGCGGATAAGGGATTTACAATCTCAGACTTGACAACACCAAAAGGTATACTCCTAATAATTCCACCAAAGAAACATAAGAGAAAACAGCTGACTGCTGTAGAAATTGAACAAACTAGGAGAATAGCAAACTTGAGAATCCATGTTGAAAGGCACATGGAACGTGTCAAGAATTTCAGAATTTTGCAGGGTATAATTCCAATTACAATTTCAAAATCTGTAAACAAAATCTGTAAAATCTGTAATGCTTTGACTACTCTGCTTCCCCCTCTTTATCCTCATGACCAAGAAATTGATGACAATTACTTCTTTGATAAAAGTTCCTTGCTTGCTCTGTAATTAGTAGGATTAGCATAATCTTATTGCAGCTCCAGATGTGAATGGTCACATGATATTTTCTGCTATATTTAAACTTAATAATCATGGTATCATGATAACAATTTTGTATTGAAAACATTGAGCCAAATAAGTCTATGTTTGTCCAATATGACTATTGACATGACCACCTACTGGTTGTCTATTTTTGTTTTACTTATTGAATCAAAGCATTGATATATAAAAATCCTGACTCTTCATATAAGTAGATAAACAATTTCATGTTTTAGCTGTGACAGCAGGATCATAGTCCCATGGTTCTAATCAGGGGTCTGGAAAATTTAAAATCCCAATCGGACATTTGCATTTAGGCCTAGAACTTCTAATTTTTGTAACAATAACTAAGACGTTACAGAAAATATGTTATGATATGTTATGGCTTAATAGAATGGTTCAAGAAATTACAAGGCGAAGAAGATATCCTATGTCTAAGTGACATACTATTTGAATGGTCAGTCGCCGTGAATGCGGCGTTAAGTAACAATTCACCCACTGAATGGTAAGTATCTATGACATTCAAAGAAAGATATGATATGGTATTGAGTGAAACATTGAATTGACTGAGTGAGCATAGGGTAAAACAACTGGTAAGATGGTAGTACAACATTCAATCTAATACAGTGAAACACCTCGCTGGACAAGTCGGGTATATTTTTCAGGAATAATGGCTGACAGATAGAAACTGCGAAGCCTTGTGACCATCTGATGCCACTTGTTCTCGTCAAATGTAATCCTTTCAATAGATATCCCTTTGAGAGTCCACACCACAAAATCACACCAAGTTCTTTTGGTCAAGGCCATCTGTCCTTGTACTTGAAAGTAGTATGCATGGTTTTCTTTTAGAGTCAAATTTTTGTCCACAATATGGCAGAAGAAATTTGTATTTGATGCAGCCTCTTCTGGTGTTAGATCTCTGAAAACAGATGGACATTTAATCTCTACTAAGCCATGTTGATTACTACATGTACTACAATCTGTGCATGACACAAGTCCCATCAGGGCTAGTTGCAAGGTAAGGGTAGTCTGTATTCACAATAAGTCCACACTGAGACACTTTCAACTGTGGATGAAGACCTGCCATTTTGTTGATATACTGCCGCCTTGCTGCAGATTCATGTGAAAGTCCCCATCTGGTATGTCTGTTACCAAATTTGCCCCGATATCCCATTAGGTCACATACAAGTCTATCTGGAGCTGTAGATGTCTGTCGGATAAATACTTTGCCAAACTGTGAACTTGTTATCCTTTCCAATTTGGCTTCCTTCCAAAACTTTGTTTTATGTTGTCCACTTGTCATTCTCTCTATTGACCTCGCATCCTTTTCTGACACTTTCATGGAATCAAAATAATTTTGAAAGGTAGTTTGACAGGTTGGCGATTTAATATCAACATAGTCAGGAATACAACGATCAATGCATGGTATTTTTGGAAGTTCTGGCATAGGTTCAGGAGCTTGAGTAACAGTAGTTGTATTAACAACATATCCACATTTACTTTTTGTTTCATGACCAATTAACTTCTTATTAAATCTTGTGAGATTTATTGTTGTCTGCGGCATGTTGCTGTAGGGACACATTGATCTTTTGTTGATTGTTCCATTCTGTATTCCAACAGTACCTTGTGTAGTCCCAGTACCTTTTTGTTGACTCTTCCTGCCACTTGACATCAGGTTCAAGTCATCCGATTTCATTGGATCCAACTTCCTTTTTCTGGGAATTTTCCACTTGCACTCAACTGATGTGCATGAAAGCAAACCATCCTTTTTCTTCTGACTAATGTCTGCAAGGGCATGAAGCAGGGCTGATACATGATTACAAGCCTCCCCGGCACTGCAAAAACAAAATTAGTTATATTTATTAATATTATTTGGACTCTAGCTTTAATATTATGAAATAACAATCAAATGCATATAAAATGACACAGTCATGTTTCCTCTATTTCACCCTAAATAATTATTATCTTTAATGTAATCAGCTAAAGATGTCACATATTAATAAGCAACAATATCAATAATCTGTTTATTTATTTAAATTAACAAAAGTGAATGAGAGGTCCCTCAAAGGAAGAGATTTTAAAATGTATCAATTACTTTGCTGGTATTTGGAATTAATAATTTACATGTCTTTTGATCAAACTTAATATTTGGAACATATTTTCTTTGAAAAGGTTTTTAAACGTTTTGTTTGTAAAAAAACAGCGATCTAGATATAGATGACACGACTTTAGTTATATAAATGCAAAGTCTACATACCCAGTTGCACAAGTACAATTTGCTGAATGAACACGACCTGTTACTTTTGAGAGACTTGCCCAAACTTCGTGATCGGGGCTTTTCTTAGGATCCGCTGTTGGTAGTGATGGTATGACACGGCATCTGACAAACATATGGTCACAGTCGTGATGGATGTTGTGAAGAGCTACGCCGTGAACATGTCTATCTTGGTAAAACACCACTGCCTTCATTTGTCGTTTAGCCATCATGGGTTTCGTGTCTGAAGTCCTATGGTTGCTAAGTACCATATAATTGTAGATTTCCTTCTCTGAGAATTCCGGCAATGATTCAACAGCATCGTTCCATACAATCATTAATGTAGTTGGGTCTTGCATTCGATATTCGCTTGGTGTGCCTAAACTTGTGCTCTTACCCCAGTCACCTTTTGATTTCGTTCCCGTAGGTATTCACGCAATTCTTTAACTGTCATTTTATGGAATTCACCATCAACGTCAATATTGTTATTTGCCGCCATTTTGAAGGTTTACTCGGCGGAAGTGAACGTGAAAAGGGGACATCACTCTAATTTTCTTTGCAAAGGGAGATAACAACACTTTTCGGAAAGTCGAATATTGATCAGTCTTTTGGGCATTGTTGAATATCACAGTATATTGCTAAGTCTCTGGAGAATTGAGGAAAATCACAGTATATTGCTGAGTCGTTGGGGCATTGTGGAATATTGCTAAATCTCTGGAGCATTGTGGAATATGACAGTATATTGCTAAGTCTCTGGAGAATTGTGGAATATCACATTATTTCGCTAAGTCTCTGGGACATTGTGGAATATCAGAGTATATTGCTAAGTCTCTCGGACATTGTGGAACATCACAGTATATTGCTAAGTCTCTGGAGCATTGTGGAATATGACAGTATATTGCTAAGTCTCTGGAGCATTGTGGAATATGACAGTATATTGCTATATATCACAGTATTCGACTTTCCGAAAAGTCAAGTTCAGTGAGAGTTATCCGTCTTGAGTTGGAACTCTTCAATTGGTTGGATGAACTTCCGCCGAGTATTGTCAACTTCCGTCGAAAATAGCGCGCTGCTTCGAAGCTGTCAAAATGGGGAAGCAATACTGCTGTATTTGTAGCAAATTTAGGGGAAAGAGAGTCGGTGAAAGAATAGTATCTCTACACGTCATTCCAGTAAGCAAGTCCCTACGACAAGCGTGGATAAGGCGACTTCGGTTAGTGAGAAAAGACCTCACAGTGACCAAGCACGCGGAAATATGCTCAGAACATTTCCTGGGTGGTAACGGTCCAGGCAAAGGGCATGATGTTCCATCGATTTTTCCGAAGAAAAATTACAGTACTTGCACAGTGAGTTATGTTGATTCTTATAAGATTTATGCTATTGTTGGTGTATTTAATGTGTTTTATCTTTTGTGAATGTTATGTGATTGTGAAAAAGTGCTATGATTAAAACTTGAAATGAAAAAAAACAAACAAAAACGTTTCAAGTTGTGTTGATCTTAAAATTCTATGTATCCTCTCTTTCATCTTATTTGTTTGAATAAATAGAAAAAAATGTCTCAGTGTCTGTTGATAATTTGTTGCAGGTGTCTGATGCTGACTTTGCTGATACCCCTAAGCCAAATGAAAGCCCATTCAAGCAGGCCTGTGACCCTGAATCTCCCAAAGTGACTATGCAGATACATGTACATGGAGGGACTCCTCAGTCTGATGAAATTGAACATCATTCCACAACATTCAGTCAAGGTGCCAGGTACAGCGGGAACATAAGTTTTTTTCTTTTTTGAATTTGTTGATTATTATGAGAAGTTATGTTTAACAAGACAAAATATAAAAATCATGGTGTAGTCTCTCTTACTTACAGAACAATAAAATATAAAGAGCATAAAATATATATATAGAGCATAAAATATAATAGAGCATTGACCAATAAACTTAATAATACACTTCTTATATTAGCTTTTGTATTAACAGATTTATGTTAATTTATTTTTTATTAATTTTAATTCCTTTTACCTCAAAATATCGGAAAAAAAACTATTTATTTAATGTGATGAAAAGCTATTTATTATTTTGACAGATCCTATGACGTTGCATCAATTATGCTGCATGACTACTGTGAGGCTGTGTGTGAAGACGATATCAGTTGCATAAGATATGGATCATCGCAAACAGAAATGGTGGAAGTTAGAAGCATGTCTACTCAAACTGACGATGTAATGTTCCAGTGTTTGAATCCTGTGAAAACATCCTGTGCAATGACTCAGACTGAGACTGAAAATAAAAAAGTCTTTCGCAATCAAGCCACTCAAGTCAAGCTTCCTGATTTAACATTTTTTGATGTGACGAATGATTCAGAATTGGCAACTATTATACAGGTCTTGTGGATGCAGAAAAGTTTTCATGTTTATTTGACGAGTTTTCTGAGGTTCATGACAGGGACTATCCAACATCCAATATCGGACGCCCTAAATCTTTGTCTTTGATAGACGAGTTCTTTCTAGTGTTGATGCGTCTTAGACTTGGACTCCTAGTTGTTGATTTATCAAAGCGATTTCATATTTCCAGAAGCTGCTGTGCTGATGTCATTAATAGATGGATTGATATTTTGTACAACAATTTATCCTTCCTAGTTGTCTGGCCATCAATGGATACTATTAATACAACTATGCCTCAAGGTTTTAAAGACCTGTATCCAAATACAAGGGTTGTTATAGATTGTACAGAATTATTTACAGAAAAACCTTACTCTATTGGTAAACAGTCACAAATGTACAGACATTATAAAAGTCACACAACATTTAAAGCGCTTGTTGGTGTCACTCCAAATGGTGTTGTTAGCTTTGTCTCTGACTTGTGGTCAGGAGCTATAAGTGACCGGCAAATAACAGTAGAATCAGGACTTTTAGATTTGTGTGATGTAGGTGATGCAATCATGGCGGATAAGGGATTTACAATCTCAGACTTGACAACACCAAAAGGTATACTCCTAATAATTCCACCAAAGAAACATAAGAGAAAACAGCTGACTGCTGTAGAAATTGAACAAACTAGGAGAATAGCAAACTTGAGAATCCATGTTGAAAGGCACATGGAACGTGTCAAGAATTTCAGAATTTTGCAGGGTATAATTCCAATTACAATTTCAAAATCTGTAAACAAAATCTGTAAAATCTGTAATGCTTTGACTACTCTGCTTCCCCCTCTTTATCCTCATGACCAAGAAATTGATGACAATTACTTCTTTGATAAAAGTTCCTTGCTTGCTCTGTAATTAGTAGGATTAGCATAATCTTATTGCAGCTCCAGATGTGAATGGTCACATGATATTTTCTGCTATATTTAAACTTAATAATCATGGTATCATGATAACAATTTTGTATTGAAAACATTGAGCCAAATAAGTCTATGTTTGTCCAATATGACTATTGACATGACCACCTACTGGTTGTCTATTTTTGTTTTACTTATTGAATCAAAGCATTGATATATAAAAATCCTGACTCTTCATATAAGTAGATAAACAATTTCATGTTTTAGCTGTGACAGCAGGATCATAGTCCCATGGTTCTAATCAGGGGTCTGGAAAATTTAAAATCCCAATCGGACATTTGCATTTAGGCCTAGAACTTCTAATTTTTGTAACAATAACTAAGACGTTACAGAAAATATGTTATGATATGTTATGGCTTAATAGAATGGTTCAAGAAATTACAAGGCGAAGAAGATATCCTATGTCTAAGTGACATACTATTTGAATGGTCAGTCGCCGTGAATGCGGCGTTAAGTAACAATTCACCCACTGAATGGTAAGTATCTATGACATTCAAAGAAAGATATGATATGGTATTGAGTGAAACATTGAATTGACTGAGTGAGCATAGGGTAAAACAACTGGTAAGATGGTAGTACAACATTCAATCTAATACAGTGAAACACCTCGCTGGACAAGTCGGGTATATTTTTCAGGAATAATGGCTGACAGATAGAAACTGCGAAGCCTTGTGACCATCTGATGCCACTTGTTCTCGTCAAATGTAATCCTTTCAATAGATATCCCTTTGAGAGTCCACACCACAAAATCACACCAAGTTCTTTTGGTCAAGGCCATCTGTCCTTGTACTTGAAAGTAGTATGCATGGTTTTCTTTTAGAGTCAAATTTTTGTCCACAATATGGCAGAAGAAATTTGTATTTGATGCAGCCTCTTCTGGTGTTAGATCTCTGAAAACAGATGGACATTTAATCTCTACTAAGCCATGTTGATTACTACATGTACTACAATCTGTGCATGACACAAGTCCCATCAGGGCTAGTTGCAAGGTAAGGGTAGTCTGTATTCACAATAAGTCCACACTGAGACACTTTCAACTGTGGATGAAGACCTGCCATTTTGTTGATATACTGCCGCCTTGCTGCAGATTCATGTGAAAGTCCCCATCTGGTATGTCTGTTACCAAATTTGCCCCGATATCCCATTAGGTCACATACAAGTCTATCTGGAGCTGTAGATGTCTGTCGGATAAATACTTTGCCAAACTGTGAACTTGTTATCCTTTCCAATTTGGCTTCCTTCCAAAACTTTGTTTTATGTTGTCCACTTGTCATTCTCTCTATTGACCTCGCATCCTTTTCTGACACTTTCATGGAATCAAAATAATTTTGAAAGGTAGTTTGACAGGTTGGCGATTTAATATCAACATAGTCAGGAATACAACGATCAATGCATGGTATTTTTGGAAGTTCTGGCATAGGTTCAGGAGCTTGAGTAACAGTAGTTGTATTAACAACATATCCACATTTACTTTTTGTTTCATGACCAATTAACTTCTTATTAAATCTTGTGAGATTTATTGTTGTCTGCGGCATGTTGCTGTAGGGACACATTGATCTTTTGTTGATTGTTCCATTCTGTATTCCAACAGTACCTTGTGTAGTCCCAGTACCTTTTTGTTGACTCTTCCTGCCACTTGACATCAGGTTCAAGTCATCCGATTTCATTGGATCCAACTTCCTTTTTCTGGGAATTTTCCACTTGCACTCAACTGATGTGCATGAAAGCAAACCATCCTTTTTCTTCTGACTAATGTCTGCAAGGGCATGAAGCAGGGCTGATACATGATTACAAGCCTCCCCGGCACTGCAAAAACAAAATTAGTTATATTTATTAATATTATTTGGACTCTAGCTTTAATATTATGAAATAACAATCAAATGCATATAAAATGACACAGTCATGTTTCCTCTATTTCACCCTAAATAATTATTATCTTTAATGTAATCAGCTAAAGATGTCACATATTAATAAGCAACAATATCAATAATCTGTTTATTTATTTAAATTAACAAAAGTGAATGAGAGGTCCCTCAAAGGAAGAGATTTTAAAATGTATCAATTACTTTGCTGGTATTTGGAATTAATAATTTACATGTCTTTTGATCAAACTTAATATTTGGAACATATTTTCTTTGAAAAGGTTTTTAAACGTTTTGTTTGTAAAAAAACAGCGATCTAGATATAGATGACACGACTTTAGTTATATAAATGCAAAGTCTACATACCCAGTTGCACAAGTACAATTTGCTGAATGAACACGACCTGTTACTTTTGAGAGACTTGCCCAAACTTCGTGATCGGGGCTTTTCTTAGGATCCGCTGTTGGTAGTGATGGTATGACACGGCATCTGACAAACATATGGTCACAGTCGTGATGGATGTTGTGAAGAGCTACGCCGTGAACATGTCTATCTTGGTAAAACACCACTGCCTTCATTTGTCGTTTAGCCATCATGGGTTTCGTGTCTGAAGTCCTATGGTTGCTAAGTACCATATAATTGTAGATTTCCTTCTCTGAGAATTCCGGCAATGATTCAACAGCATCGTTCCATACAATCATTAATGTAGTTGGGTCTTGCATTCGATATTCGCTTGGTGTGCCTAAACTTGTGCTCTTACCCCAGTCACCTTTTGATTTCGTTCCCGTAGGTATTCACGCAATTCTTTAACTGTCATTTTATGGAATTCACCATCAACGTCAATATTGTTATTTGCCGCCATTTTGAAGGTTTACTCGGCGGAAGTGAACGTGAAAAGGGGACATCACTCTAATTTTCTTTGCAAAGGGAGATAACAACACTTTTCGGAAAGTCGAATATTGATCAGTCTTTTGGGCATTGTTGAATATCACAGTATATTGCTAAGTCTCTGGAGAATTGAGGAAAATCACAGTATATTGCTGAGTCGTTGGGGCATTGTGGAATATTGCTAAATCTCTGGAGCATTGTGGAATATGACAGTATATTGCTAAGTCTCTGGAGAATTGTGGAATATCACATTATTTCGCTAAGTCTCTGGGACATTGTGGAATATCAGAGTATATTGCTAAGTCTCTCGGACATTGTGGAACATCACAGTATATTGCTAAGTCTCTGGAGCATTGTGGAATATGACAGTATATTGCTAAGTCTCTGGAGCATTGTGGAATATGACAGTATATTGCTATATATCACAGTATTCGACTTTCCGAAAAGTCAAGTTCAGTGAGAGTTATCCGTCTTGAGTTGGAACTCTTCAATTGGTTGGATGAACTTCCGCCGAGTATTGTCAACTTCCGTCGAAAATAGCGCGCTGCTTCGAAGCTGTCAAAATGGGGAAGCAATACTGCTGTATTTGTAGCAATTTTAGGGGAAAGAGAGTCGGTGAAAGAATAGTATCTCTACACGTCATTCCAGTAAGCAAGTCCCTACGACAAGCGTGGATAAGGCGACTTCGGTTAGTGAGAAAAGACCTCACAGTGACCAAGCACGCGGAAATATGCTCAGAACATTTCCTGGGTGGTAACGGTCCAGGCAAAGGGCATGATGTTCCATCGATTTTTCCGAAGAAAAATTACAGTACTTGCACAGTGAGTTATGTTGATTCTTATAAGATTTATGCTATTGTTGGTGTATTTAATGTGTTTTATCTTTTGTGAATGTTATGTGATTGTGAAAAAGTGCTATGATTAAAACTTGAAATGAAAAAAAACAAACAAAAACGTTTCAAGTTGTGTTGATCTTAAAATTCTATGTATCCTCTCTTTCATCTTATTTGTTTGAATAAATAGAAAAAAATGTCTCAGTGTCTGTTGATAATTTGTTGCAGGTGTCTGATGCTGACTTTGCTGATACCCCTAAGCCAAATGAAAGCCCATTCAAGCAGGCCTGTGACCCTGAATCTCCCAAAGTGACTATGCAGATACATGGAGGGACTCCTCAGTCTGATGAAATTGAACATCATTCCACAACATTCAGTCAAGGTGCCAGGTACAGCGGGAACATAAGTTTTTTTCTTTTTTGAATTTGTTGATTATTATGAGAAGTTATGTTTAACAAGACAAAATATAAAAATCATGGTGTAGTCTCTCTTACTTACAGAACAATAAAATATAAAGAGCATAAAATATATATAGAGAGCATAAAATATAATAGAGCATTGACCAATAAACTTAATAATACACTTCTTATATTAGCTTTTGTATTAACAGATTTATGTTAATTTATTTTTTATTAATTTTAATTCCTTTTACCTCAAAATATCGGAAAAAAAACTATTTATTTAATGTGATGAAAAGCTATTTATTATTTTGACAGATCCTATGACGTTGCATCAATTATGCTGCATGACTACTGTGAGGCTGTGTGTGAAGACGATATCAGTTGCATAAGATATGGATCATCGCAAACAGAAATGGTGGAAGTTAGAAGCATGTCTACTCAAACTGACGATGTAATGTTCCAGTGTTTGAATCCTGTGAAAACATCCTGTGCAATGACTCAGACTGAGACTGAAAATAAAAAAGTCTTTCGCAATCAAGCCACTCAAGTCAAGCTTCCTGATTTAACATTTTTTGATGTGACGAATGATTCAGAATTGGCAACTATTATACAGGTCTTGTGGATGCAGAAAAGTTTTCATGTTTATTCGACGAGTTTTCTGAGGTTCATGACAGGGACTATCCAACATCCAATATCGGACGCCCTAAATCTTTGTCTTTGATAGACGAGTTCTTTCTAGTGTTGATGCGTCTTAGACTTGGACTCCTAGTTGTTGATTTATCAAAGCGATTTCATATTTCCAGAAGCTGCTGTGCTGATGTCATTAATAGATGGATTGATATTTTGTACAACAATTTATCCTTCCTAGTTGTCTGGCCATCAATGGATACTATTAATACAACTATGCCTCAAGGTTTTAAAGACCTGTATCCAAATACAAGGGTTGTTATAGATTGTACAGAATTATTTACAGAAAAACCTTACTCTATTGGTAAACAGTCACAAATGTACAGACATTATAAAAGTCACACAACATTTAAAGCGCTTGTTGGTGTCACTCCAAATGGTGTTGTTAGCTTTGTCTCTGACTTGTGGTCAGGAGCTATAAGTGACCGGCAAATAACAGTAGAATCAGGACTTTTAGATTTGTGTGATGTAGGTGATGCAATCATGGCGGATAAGGGATTTACAATCTCAGACTTGACAACACCAAAAGGTATACTCCTAATAATTCCACCAAAGAAACATAAGAGAAAACAGCTGACTGCTGTAGAAATTGAACAAACTAGGAGAATAGCAAACTTGAGAATCCATGTTGAAAGGCACATGGAACGTGTCAAGAATTTCAGAATTTTGCAGGGTATAATTCCAATTACAATTTCAAAATCTGTAAACAAAATCTGTAAAATCTGTAATGCTTTGACTACTCTGCTTCCCCCTCTTTATCCTCATGACCAAGAAATTGATGACAATTACTTCTTTGATAAAAGTTCCTTGCTTGCTCTGTAATTAGTAGGATTAGCATAATCTTATTGCAGCTCCAGATGTGAATGGTCACATGATATTTTCTGCTATATTTAAACTTAATAATCATGGTATCATGATAACAATTTTGTATTGAAAACATTGAGCCAAATAAGTCTAGACAAATAAGTCTATGTTTGTCCAATATGACTATTGACATGACCACCTACTGGTTGTCTATTTTTGTTTTACTTATTGAATCAAAGCATTGATATATAAAAATCCTGACTCTTCATATAAGTAGATAAACAATTTCATGTTTTAGCTGTGACAGCAGGATCATAGTCCCATGGTTCTAATCAGGGGTCTGGAAAATTTAAAATCCCAATCGGACATTTGCATTTAGGCCTAGAACTTCTAATTTTTGTAACAATAACTAAGACGTTACAGAAAATATGTTATGATATGTTATGGCTTAATAGAATGGTTCAAGAAATTACAAGGCGAAGAAGATATCCTATGTCTAAGTGACATACTATTTGAATGGTCAGTCGCCGTGAATGCGGCGTTAAGTAACAATTCACCCACTGAATGGTAAGTATCTATGACATTCAAAGAAAGATATGATATGGTATTGAGTGAAACATTGAATTGACTGAGTGAGCATAGGGTAAAACAACTGGTAAGATGGTAGTACAACATTCAATCTAATACAGTGAAACACCTCGCTGAACAAGTCGGGTATATTTTTCAGGAATAATGGCTGACAGATAGAAACTGCGAAGCCTTGTGACCATCTGATGCCACTTGTTCTCGTCAAATGTAATCCTTTCAATAGATATCCCTTTGAGAGTCCACACCACAAAATCACACCAAGTTCTTTTGGTCAAGGCCATCTGTCCTTGTACTTGAAAGTAGTATGCATGGTTTTCTTTTAGAGTCAAATTTTTGTCCACAATATGGCAGAAGAAATTTGTATTTGATGCAGCCTCTTCTGGTGTTAGATCTCTGAAAACAGATGGACATTTAATCTCTACTAAGCCATGTTGATTACTACATGTACTACAATCTGTGCATGACACAAGTCCCATCAGGGCTAGTTGCAAGGTAAGGGTAGTCTGTATTCACAATAAGTCCACACTGAGACACTTTCAACTGTGGATGAAGACCTGCCATTTTGTTGATATACTGCCGCCTTGCTGCAGATTCATGTGAAAGTCCCCATCTGGTATGTCTGTTACCAAATTTGCCCCGATATCCCATTAGGTCACATACAAGTCTATCTGGAGCTGTAGATGTCTGTCGGATAAATACTTTGCCAAACTGTGAACTTGTTATCCTTTCCAATTTGGCTTCCTTCCAAAACTTTGTTTTATGTTGTCCACTTGTCATTCTCTCTATTGACCTCGCATCCTTTTCTGACACTTTCATGGAATCAAAATAATTTTGAAAGGTAGTTTGACAGGTTGGCGATTTAATATCAACATAGTCAGGAATACAACGATCAATGCATGGTATTTTTGGAAGTTCTGGCATAGGTTCAGGAGCTTGAGTAACAGTAGTTGTATTAACAACATATCCACATTTACTTTTTGTTTCATGACCAATTAACTTCTTATTAAATCTTGTGAGATTTATTGTTGTCTGCGGCATGTTGCTGTAGGGACACATTGATCTTTTGTTGATTGTTCCATTCTGTATTCCAACAGTACCTTGTGTAGTCCCAGTACCTTTTTGTTGACTCTTCCTGCCACTTGACATCAGGTTCAAGTCATCCGATTTCATTGGATCCAACTTCCTTTTTCTGGGAATTTTCCACTTGCACTCAACTGATGTGCATGAAAGCAAACCATCCTTTTTCTTCTGACTAATGTCTGCAAGGGCATGAAGCAGGGCTGATACATGATTACAAGCCTCCCCGGCACTGCAAAAACAAAATTAGTTATATTTATTAATATTATTTGGACTCTAGCTTTAATATTATGAAATAACAATCAAATGCATATAAAATGACACAGTCATGTTTCCTCTATTTCACCCTAAATAATTATTATCTTTAATGTAATCAGCTAAAGATGTCACATATTAATAAGCAACAATATCAATAATCTGTTTATTTATTTAAATTAACAAAAGTGAATGAGAGGTCCCTCAAAGGAAGAGATTTTAAAATGTATCAATTACTTTGCTGGTATTTGGAATTAATAATTTACATGTCTTTTGATCAAACTTAATATTTGGAACATATTTTCTTTGAAAAGGTTTTTAAACGTTTTGTTTGTAAAAAAACAGCGATCTAGATATAGATGACACGACTTTAGTTATATAAATGCAAAGTCTACATACCCAGTTGCACAAGTACAATTTGCTGAATGAACACGACCTGTTACTTTTGAGAGACTTGCCCAAACTTCGTGATCGGGGCTTTTCTTAGGATCCGCTGTTGGTAGTGATGGTATGACACGGCATCTGACAAACATATGGTCACAGTCGTGATGGATGTTGTGAAGAGCTACGCCGTGAACATGTCTATCTTGGTAAAACACCACTGCCTTCATTTGTCGTTTAGCCATCATGGGTTTCGTGTCTGAAGTCCTATGGTTGCTAAGTACCATATAATTGTAGATTTCCTTCTCTGAGAATTCCGGCAATGATTCAACAGCATCGTTCCATACAATCATTAATGTAGTTGGGTCTTGCATTCGATATTCGCTTGGTGTGCCTAAACTTGTGCTCTTACCCCAGTCACCTTTTGATTTCGTTCCCGTAGGTATTCACGCAATTCTTTAACTGTCATTTTATGGAATTCACCATCAACGTCAATATTGTTATTTGCCGCCATTTTGAAGGTTTACTCGGCGGAAGTGAACGTGAAAAGGGGACATCACTCTAATTTTCTTTGCAAAGGGAGATAACAACACTTTTCGGAAAGTCGAATATTGATCAGTCTTTTGGGCATTGTTGAATATCACAGTATATTGCTAAGTCTCTGGAGAATTGAGGAAAATCACAGTATATTGCTGAGTCGTTGGGGCATTGTGGAATATTGCTAAATCTCTGGAGCATTGTGGAATATGACAGTATATTGCTAAGTCTCTGGAGAATTGTGGAATATCACATTATTTCGCTAAGTCTCTGGGACATTGTGGAATATCAGAGTATATTGCTAAGTCTCTCGGACATTGTGGAACATCACAGTATATTGCTAAGTCTCTGGAGCATTGTGGAATATGACAGTATATTGCTAAGTCTCTGGAGCATTGTGGAATATGACAGTATATTGCTATATATCACAGTATTCGACTTTCCGAAAAGTCAAGTTCAGTGAGAGTTATCCGTCTTGAGTTGGAACTCTTCAATTGGTTGGATGAACTTCCGCCGAGTATTGTCAACTTCCGTCGAAAATAGCGCGCTGCTTCGAAGCTGTCAAAATGGGGAAGCAATACTGCTGTATTTGTAGCAATTTTAGGGGAAAGAGAGTCGGTGAAAGAATAGTATCTCTACACGTCATTCCAGTAAGCAAGTCCCTACGACAAGCGTGGATAAGGCGACTTCGGTTAGTGAGAAAAGACCTCACAGTGACCAAGCACGCGGAAATATGCTCAGAACATTTCCTGGGTGGTAACGGTCCAGGCAAAGGGCATGATGTTCCATCGATTTTTCCGAAGAAAAATTACAGTACTTGCACAGTGAGTTATGTTGATTCTTATAAGATTTATGCTATTGTTGGTGTATTTAATGTGTTTTATCTTTTGTGAATGTTATGTGATTGTGAAAAAGTGCTATGATTAAAACTTGAAATGAAAAAAAACAAACAAAAACGTTTCAAGTTGTGTTGATCTTAAAATTCTATGTATCCTCTCTTTCATCTTATTTGTTTGAATAAATAGAAAAAAATGTCTCAGTGTCTGTTGATAATTTGTTGCAGGTGTCTGATGCTGACTTTGCTGATACCCCTAAGCCAAATGAAAGCCCATTCAAGCAGGCCTGTGACCCTGAATCTCCCAAAGTGACTATGCAGATACATGGAGGGACTCCTCAGTCTGATGAAATTGAACATCATTCCACAACATTCAGTCAAGGTGCCAGGTACAGCGGGAACATAAGTTTTTTTCTTTTTTGAATTTGTTGATTATTATGAGAAGTTATGTTTAACAAGACAAAATATAAAAATCATGGTGTAGTCTCTCTTACTTACAGAACAATAAAATATAAAGAGCATAAAATATATATAGAGAGCATAAAATATAATAGAGCATTGACCAATAAACTTAATAATACACTTCTTATATTAGCTTTTGTATTAACAGATTTATGTTAATTTATTTTTTATTAATTTTAATTCCTTTTACCTCAAAATATCGGAAAAAAAACTATTTATTTAATGTGATGAAAAGCTATTTATTATTTTGACAGATCCTATGACGTTGCATCAATTATGCTGCATGACTACTGTGAGGCTGTGTGTGAAGACGATATCAGTTGCATAAGATATGGATCATCGCAAACAGAAATGGTGGAAGTTAGAAGCATGTCTACTCAAACTGACGATGTAATGTTCCAGTGTTTGAATCCTGTGAAAACATCCTGTGCAATGACTCAGACTGAGACTGAAAATAAAAAAGTCTTTCGCAATCAAGCCACTCAAGTCAAGCTTCCTGATTTAACATTTTTTGATGTGACGAATGATTCAGAATTGGCAACTATTATACAGGTCTTGTGGATGCAGAAAAGTTTTCATGTTTATTTGACGAGTTTTCTGAGGTTCATGACAGGGACTATCCAACATCCAATATCGGACGCCCTAAATCTTTGTCTTTGATAGACGAGTTCTTTCTAGTGTTGATGCGTCTTAGACTTGGACTCCTAGTTGTTGATTTATCAAAGCGATTTCATATTTCCAGAAGCTGCTGTGCTGATGTCATTAATAGATGGATTGATATTTTGTACAACAATTTATCCTTCCTAGTTGTCTGGCCATCAATGGATACTATTAATACAACTATGCCTCAAGGTTTTAAAGACCTGTATCCAAATACAAGGGTTGTTATAGATTGTACAGAATTATTTACAGAAAAACCTTACTCTATTGGTAAACAGTCACAAATGTACAGACATTATAAAAGTCACACAACATTTAAAGCGCTTGTTGGTGTCACTCCAAATGGTGTTGTTAGCTTTGTCTCTGACTTGTGGTCAGGAGCTATAAGTGACCGGCAAATAACAGTAGAATCAGGACTTTTAGATTTGTGTGATGTAGGTGATGCAATCATGGCGGATAAGGGATTTACAATCTCAGACTTGACAACACCAAAAGGTATACTCCTAATAATTCCACCAAAGAAACATAAGAGAAAACAGCTGACTGCTGTAGAAATTGAACAAACTAGGAGAATAGCAAACTTGAGAATCCATGTTGAAAGGCACATGGAACGTGTCAAGAATTTCAGAATTTTGCAGGGTATAATTCCAATTACAATTTCAAAATCTGTAAACAAAATCTGTAAAATCTGTAATGCTTTGACTACTCTGCTTCCCCCTCTTTATCCTCATGACCAAGAAATTGATGACAATTACTTCTTTGATAAAAGTTCCTTGCTTGCTCTGTAATTAGTAGGATTAGCATAATCTTATTGCAGCTCCAGATGTGAATGGTCACATGATATTTTCTGCTATATTTAAACTTAATAATCATGGTATCATGATAACAATTTTGTATTGAAAACATTGAGCCAAATAAGTCTAGACAAATAAGTCTATGTTTGTCCAATATGACTATTGACATGACCACCTACTGGTTGTCTATTTTTGTTTTACTTATTGAATCAAAGCATTGATATATAAAAATCCTGACTCTTCATATAAGTAGATAAACAATTTCATGTTTTAGCTGTGACAGCAGGATCATAGTCCCATGGTTCTAATCAGGGGTCTGGAAAATTTAAAATCCCAATCGGACATTTGCATTTAGGCCTAGAACTTCTAATTTTTGTAACAATAACTAAGACGTTACAGAAAATATGTTATGATATGTTATGGCTTAATAGAATGGTTCAAGAAATTACAAGGCGAAGAAGATATCCTATGTCTAAGTGACATACTATTTGAATGGTCAGTCGCCGTGAATGCGGCGTTAAGTAACAATTCACCCACTGAATGGTAAGTATCTATGACATTCAAAGAAAGATATGATATGGTATTGAGTGAAACATTGAATTGACTGAGTGAGCATAGGGTAAAACAACTGGTAAGATGGTAGTACAACATTCAATCTAATACAGTGAAACACCTCGCTGGACAAGTCGGGTATATTTTTCAGGAATAATGGCTGACAGATAGAAACTGCGAAGCCTTGTGACCATCTGATGCCACTTGTTCTCGTCAAATGTAATCCTTTCAATAGATATCCCTTTGAGAGTCCACACCACAAAATCACACCAAGTTCTTTTGGTCAAGGCCATCTGTCCTTGTACTTGAAAGTAGTATGCATGGTTTTCTTTTAGAGTCAAATTTTTGTCCACAATATGGCAGAAGAAATTTGTATTTGATGCAGCCTCTTCTGGTGTTAGATCTCTGAAAACAGATGGACATTTAATCTCTACTAAGCCATGTTGATTACTACATGTACTACAATCTGTGCATGACACAAGTCCCATCAGGGCTAGTTGCAAGGTAAGGGTAGTCTGTATTCACAATAAGTCCACACTGAGACACTTTCAACTGTGGATGAAGACCTGCCATTTTGTTGATATACTGCCGCCTTGCTGCAGATTCATGTGAAAGTCCCCATCTGGTATGTCTGTTACCAAATTTGCCCCGATATCCCATTAGGTCACATACAAGTCTATCTGGAGCTGTAGATGTCTGTCGGATAAATACTTTGCCAAACTGTGAACTTGTTATCCTTTCCAATTTGGCTTCCTTCCAAAACTTTGTTTTATGTTGTCCACTTGTCATTCTCTCTATTGACCTCGCATCCTTTTCTGACACTTTCATGGAATCAAAATAATTTTGAAAGGTAGTTTGACAGGTTGGCGATTTAATATCAACATAGTCAGGAATACAACGATCAATGCATGGTATTTTTGGAAGTTCTGGCATAGGTTCAGGAGCTTGAGTAACAGTAGTTGTATTAACAACATATCCACATTTACTTTTTGTTTCATGACCAATTAACTTCTTATTAAATCTTGTGAGATTTATTGTTGTCTGCGGCATGTTGCTGTAGGGACACATTGATCTTTTGTTGATTGTTCCATTCTGTATTCCAACAGTACCTTGTGTAGTCCCAGTACCTTTTTGTTGACTCTTCCTGCCACTTGACATCAGGTTCAAGTCATCCGATTTCATTGGATCCAACTTCCTTTTTCTGGGAATTTTCCACTTGCACTCAACTGATGTGCATGAAAGCAAACCATCCTTTTTCTTCTGACTAATGTCTGCAAGGGCATGAAGCAGGGCTGATACATGATTACAAGCCTCCCCGGCACTGCAAAAACAAAATTAGTTATATTTATTAATATTATTTGGACTCTAGCTTTAATATTATGAAATAACAATCAAATGCATATAAAATGACACAGTCATGTTTCCTCTATTTCACCCTAAATAATTATTATCTTTAATGTAATCAGCTAAAGATGTCACATATTAATAAGCAACAATATCAATAATCTGTTTATTTATTTAAATTAACAAAAGTGAATGAGAGGTCCCTCAAAGGAAGAGATTTTAAAATGTATCAATTACTTTGCTGGTATTTGGAATTAATAATTTACATGTCTTTTGATCAAACTTAATATTTGGAACATATTTTCTTTGAAAAGGTTTTTAAACGTTTTGTTTGTAAAAAAACAGCGATCTAGATATAGATGACACGACTTTAGTTATATAAATGCAAAGTCTACATACCCAGTTGCACAAGTACAATTTGCTGAATGAACACGACCTGTTACTTTTGAGAGACTTGCCCAAACTTCGTGATCGGGGCTTTTCTTAGGATCCGCTGTTGGTAGTGATGGTATGACACGGCATCTGACAAACATATGGTCACAGTCGTGATGGATGTTGTGAAGAGCTACGCCGTGAACATGTCTATCTTGGTAAAACACCACTGCCTTCATTTGTCGTTTAGCCATCATGGGTTTCGTGTCTGAAGTCCTATGGTTGCTAAGTACCATATAATTGTAGATTTCCTTCTCTGAGAATTCCGGCAATGATTCAACAGCATCGTTCCATACAATCATTAATGTAGTTGGGTCTTGCATTCGATATTCGCTTGGTGTGCCTAAACTTGTGCTCTTACCCCAGTCACCTTTTGATTTCGTTCCCGTAGGTATTCACGCAATTCTTTAACTGTCATTTTATGGAATTCACCATCAACGTCAATATTGTTATTTGCCGCCATTTTGAAGGTTTACTCGGCGGAAGTGAACGTGAAAAGGGGACATCACTCTAATTTTCTTTGCAAAGGGAGATAACAACACTTTTCGGAAAGTCGAATATTGATCAGTCTTTTGGGCATTGTTGAATATCACAGTATATTGCTAAGTCTCTGGAGAATTGAGGAAAATCACAGTATATTGCTGAGTCGTTGGGGCATTGTGGAATATTGCTAAATCTCTGGAGCATTGTGGAATATGACAGTATATTGCTAAGTCTCTGGAGAATTGTGGAATATCACATTATTTCGCTAAGTCTCTGGGACATTGTGGAATATCAGAGTATATTGCTAAGTCTCTCGGACATTGTGGAACATCACAGTATATTGCTAAGTCTCTGGAGCATTGTGGAATATGACAGTATATTGCTAAGTCTCTGGAGCATTGTGGAATATGACAGTATATTGCTATATATCACAGTATTCGACTTTCCGAAAAGTCAAGTTCAGTGAGAGTTATCCGTCTTGAGTTGGAACTCTTCAATTGGTTGGATGAACTTCCGCCGAGTATTGTCAACTTCCGTCGAAAATAGCGCGCTGCTTCGAAGCTGTCAAAATGGGGAAGCAATACTGCTGTATTTGTAGCAATTTTAGGGGAAAGAGAGTCGGTGAAAGAATAGTATCTCTACACGTCATTCCAGTAAGCAAGTCCCTACGACAAGCGTGGATAAGGCGACTTCGGTTAGTGAGAAAAGACCTCACAGTGACCAAGCACGCGGAAATATGCTCAGAACATTTCCTGGGTGGTAACGGTCCAGGCAAAGGGCATGATGTTCCATCGATTTTTCCGAAGAAAAATTACAGTACTTGCACAGTGAGTTATGTTGATTCTTATAAGATTTATGCTATTGTTGGTGTATTTAATGTGTTTTATCTTTTGTGAATGTTATGTGATTGTGAAAAAGTGCTATGATTAAAACTTGAAATGAAAAAAAACAAACAAAAACGTTTCAAGTTGTGTTGATCTTAAAATTCTATGTATCCTCTCTTTCATCTTATTTGTTTGAATAAATAGAAAAAAATGTCTCAGTGTCTGTTGATAATTTGTTGCAGGTGTCTGATGCTGACTTTGCTGATACCCCTAAGCCAAATGAAAGCCCATTCAAGCAGGCCTGTGACCCTGAATCTCCCAAAGTGACTATGCAGATACATGGAGGGACTCCTCAGTCTGATGAAATTGAACATCATTCCACAACATTCAGTCAAGGTGCCAGGTACAGCGGGAACATAAGTTTTTTTCTTTTTTGAATTTGTTGATTATTATGAGAAGTTATGTTTAACAAGACAAAATATAAAAATCATGGTGTAGTCTCTCTTACTTACAGAACAATAAAATATAAAGAGCATAAAATATATATATAGAGCATAAAATATAATAGAGCATTGACCAATAAACTTAATAATACACTTCTTATATTAGCTTTTGTATTAACAGATTTATGTTAATTTATTTTTTATTAATTTTAATTCCTTTTACCTCAAAATATCGGAAAAAAAACTATTTATTTAATGTGATGAAAAGCTATTTATTATTTTGACAGATCCTATGACGTTGCATCAATTATGCTGCATGACTACTGTGAGGCTGTGTGTGAAGACGATATCAGTTGCATAAGATATGGATCATCGCAAACAGAAATGGTGGAAGTTAGAAGCATGTCTACTCAAACTGACGATGTAATGTTCCAGTGTTTGAATCCTGTGAAAACATCCTGTGCAATGACTCAGACTGAGACTGAAAATAAAAAAGTCTTTCGCAATCAAGCCACTCAAGTCAAGCTTCCTGATTTAACATTTTTTGATGTGACGAATGATTCAGAATTGGCAACTATTATACAGGTCTTGTGGATGCAGAAAAGTTTTCATGTTTATTTGACGAGTTTTCTGAGGTTCATGACAGGGACTATCCAACATCCAATATCGGACGCCCTAAATCTTTGTCTTTGATAGACGAGTTCTTTCTAGTGTTGATGCGTCTTAGACTTGGACTCCTAGTTGTTGATTTATCAAAGCGATTTCATATTTCCAGAAGCTGCTGTGCTGATGTCATTAATAGATGGATTGATATTTTGTACAACAATTTATCCTTCCTAGTTGTCTGGCCATCAATGGATACTATTAATACAACTATGCCTCAAGGTTTTAAAGACCTGTATCCAAATACAAGGGTTGTTATAGATTGTACAGAATTATTTACAGAAAAACCTTACTCTATTGGTAAACAGTCACAAATGTACAGACATTATAAAAGTCACACAACATTTAAAGCGCTTGTTGGTGTCACTCCAAATGGTGTTGTTAGCTTTGTCTCTGACTTGTGGTCAGGAGCTATAAGTGACCGGCAAATAACAGTAGAATCAGGACTTTTAGATTTGTGTGATGTAGGTGATGCAATCATGGCGGATAAGGGATTTACAATCTCAGACTTGACAACACCAAAAGGTATACTCCTAATAATTCCACCAAAGAAACATAAGAGAAAACAGCTGACTGCTGTAGAAATTGAACAAACTAGGAGAATAGCAAACTTGAGAATCCATGTTGAAAGGCACATGGAACGTGTCAAGAATTTCAGAATTTTGCAGGGTATAATTCCAATTACAATTTCAAAATCTGTAAACAAAATCTGTAAAATCTGTAATGCTTTGACTACTCTGCTTCCCCCTCTTTATCCTCATGACCAAGAAATTGATGACAATTACTTCTTTGATAAAAGTTCCTTGCTTGCTCTGTAATTAGTAGGATTAGCATAATCTTATTGCAGCTCCAGATGTGAATGGTCACATGATATTTTCTGCTATATTTAAACTTAATAATCATGGTATCATGATAACAATTTTGTATTGAAAACATTGAGCCAAATAAGTCTAGACAAATAAGTCTATGTTTGTCCAATATGACTATTGACATGACCACCTACTGGTTGTCTATTTTTGTTTTACTTATTGAATCAAAGCATTGATATATAAAAATCCTGACTCTTCATATAAGTAGATAAACAATTTCATGTTTTAGCTGTGACAGCAGGATCATAGTCCCATGGTTCTAATCAGGGGTCTGGAAAATTTAAAATCCCAATCGGACATTTGCATTTAGGCCTAGAACTTCTAATTTTTGTAACAATAACTAAGACGTTACAGAAAATATGTTATGATATGTTATGGCTTAATAGAATGGTTCAAGAAATTACAAGGCGAAGAAGATATCCTATGTCTAAGTGACATACTATTTGAATGGTCAGTCGCCGTGAATGCGGCGTTAAGTAACAATTCACCCACTGAATGGTAAGTATCTATGACATTCAAAGAAAGATATGATATGGTATTGAGTGAAACATTGAATTGACTGAGTGAGCATAGGGTAAAACAACTGGTAAGATGGTAGTACAACATTCAATCTAATACAGTGAAACACCTCGCTGAACAAGTCGGGTATATTTTTCAGGAATAATGGCTGACAGATAGAAACTGCGAAGCCTTGTGACCATCTGATGCCACTTGTTCTCGTCAAATGTAATCCTTTCAATAGATATCCCTTTGAGAGTCCACACCACAAAATCACACCAAGTTCTTTTGGTCAAGGCCATCTGTCCTTGTACTTGAAAGTAGTATGCATGGTTTTCTTTTAGAGTCAAATTTTTGTCCACAATATGGCAGAAGAAATTTGTATTTGATGCAGCCTCTTCTGGTGTTAGATCTCTGAAAACAGATGGACATTTAATCTCTACTAAGCCATGTTGATTACTACATGTACTACAATCTGTGCATGACACAAGTCCCATCAGGGCTAGTTGCAAGGTAAGGGTAGTCTGTATTCACAATAAGTCCACACTGAGACACTTTCAACTGTGGATGAAGACCTGCCATTTTGTTGATATACTGCCGCCTTGCTGCAGATTCATGTGAAAGTCCCCATCTGGTATGTCTGTTACCAAATTTGCCCCGATATCCCATTAGGTCACATACAAGTCTATCTGGAGCTGTAGATGTCTGTCGGATAAATACTTTGCCAAACTGTGAACTTGTTATCCTTTCCAATTTGGCTTCCTTCCAAAACTTTGTTTTATGTTGTCCACTTGTCATTCTCTCTATTGACCTCGCATCCTTTTCTGACACTTTCATGGAATCAAAATAATTTTGAAAGGTAGTTTGACAGGTTGGCGATTTAATATCAACATAGTCAGGAATACAACGATCAATGCATGGTATTTTTGGAAGTTCTGGCATAGGTTCAGGAGCTTGAGTAACAGTAGTTGTATTAACAACATATCCACATTTACTTTTTGTTTCATGACCAATTAACTTCTTATTAAATCTTGTGAGATTTATTGTTGTCTGCGGCATGTTGCTGTAGGGACACATTGATCTTTTGTTGATTGTTCCATTCTGTATTCCAACAGTACCTTGTGTAGTCCCAGTACCTTTTTGTTGACTCTTCCTGCCACTTGACATCAGGTTCAAGTCATCCGATTTCATTGGATCCAACTTCCTTTTTCTGGGAATTTTCCACTTGCACTCAACTGATGTGCATGAAAGCAAACCATCCTTTTTCTTCTGACTAATGTCTGCAAGGGCATGAAGCAGGGCTGATACATGATTACAAGCCTCCCCGGCACTGCAAAAACAAAATTAGTTATATTTATTAATATTATTTGGACTCTAGCTTTAATATTATGAAATAACAATCAAATGCATATAAAATGACACAGTCATGTTTCCTCTATTTCACCCTAAATAATTATTATCTTTAATGTAATCAGCTAAAGATGTCACATATTAATAAGCAACAATATCAATAATCTGTTTATTTATTTAAATTAACAAAAGTGAATGAGAGGTCCCTCAAAGGAAGAGATTTTAAAATGTATCAATTACTTTGCTGGTATTTGGAATTAATAATTTACATGTCTTTTGATCAAACTTAATATTTGGAACATATTTTCTTTGAAAAGGTTTTTAAACGTTTTGTTTGTAAAAAAACAGCGATCTAGATATAGATGACACGACTTTAGTTATATAAATGCAAAGTCTACATACCCAGTTGCACAAGTACAATTTGCTGAATGAACACGACCTGTTACTTTTGAGAGACTTGCCCAAACTTCGTGATCGGGGCTTTTCTTAGGATCCGCTGTTGGTAGTGATGGTATGACACGGCATCTGACAAACATATGGTCACAGTCGTGATGGATGTTGTGAAGAGCTACGCCGTGAACATGTCTATCTTGGTAAAACACCACTGCCTTCATTTGTCGTTTAGCCATCATGGGTTTCGTGTCTGAAGTCCTATGGTTGCTAAGTACCATATAATTGTAGATTTCCTTCTCTGAGAATTCCGGCAATGATTCAACAGCATCGTTCCATACAATCATTAATGTAGTTGGGTCTTGCATTCGATATTCGCTTGGTGTGCCTAAACTTGTGCTCTTACCCCAGTCACCTTTTGATTTCGTTCCCGTAGGTATTCACGCAATTCTTTAACTGTCATTTTATGGAATTCACCATCAACGTCAATATTGTTATTTGCCGCCATTTTGAAGGTTTACTCGGCGGAAGTGAACGTGAAAAGGGGACATCACTCTAATTTTCATTGCAAAGGGAGATAACAACACTTTTCGGAAAGTCGAATATTGATCAGTCTTTTGGGCATTGTTGAATATCACAGTATATTGCTAAGTCTCTGGAGAATTGAGGAAAATCACAGTATATTGCTGAGTCGTTGGGGCATTGTGGAATATTGCTAAATCTCTGGAGCATTGTGGAATATGACAGTATATTGCTAAGTCTCTGGAGAATTGTGGAATATCACATTATTTCGCTAAGTCTCTGGGACATTGTGGAATATCAGAGTATATTGCTAAGTCTCTCGGACATTGTGGAACATCACAGTATATTGCTAAGTCTCTGGAGCATTGTGGAATATGACAGTATATTGCTAAGTCTCTGGAGCATTGTGGAATATGACAGTATATTGCTATATATCACAGTATTCGACTTTCCGAAAAGTCAAGTTCAGTGAGAGTTATCCGTCTTGAGTTGGAACTCTTCAATTGGTTGGATGAACTTCCGCCGAGTATTGTCAACTTCCGTCGAAAATAGCGCGCTGCTTCGAAGCTGTCAAAATGGGGAAGCAATACTGCTGTATTTGTAGCAATTTTAGGGGAAAGAGAGTCGGTGAAAGAATAGTATCTCTACACGTCATTCCAGTAAGCAAGTCCCTACGACAAGCGTGGATAAGGCGACTTCGGTTAGTGAGAAAAGACCTCACAGTGACCAAGCACGCGGAAATATGCTCAGAACATTTCCTGGGTGGTAACGGTCCAGGCAAAGGGCATGATGTTCCATCGATTTTTCCGAAGAAAAATTACAGTACTTGCACAGTGAGTTATGTTGATTCTTATAAGATTTATGCTATTGTTGGTGTATTTAATGTGTTTTATCTTTTGTGAATGTTATGTGATTGTGAAAAAGTGCTATGATTAAAACTTGAAATGAAAAAAAACAAACAAAAACGTTTCAAGTTGTGTTGATCTTAAAATTCTATGTATCCTCTCTTTCATCTTATTTGTTTGAATAAATAGAAAAAAATGTCTCAGTGTCTGTTGATAATTTGTTGCAGGTGTCTGATGCTGACTTTGCTGATACCCCTAAGCCAAATGAAAGCCCATTCAAGCAGGCCTGTGACCCTGAATCTCCCAAAGTGACTATGCAGATACATGGAGGGACTCCTCAGTCTGATGAAATTGAACATCATTCCACAACATTCAGTCAAGGTGCCAGGTACAGCGGGAACATAAGTTTTTTTCTTTTTTGAATTTGTTGATTATTATGAGAAGTTATGTTTAACAAGACAAAATATAAAAATCATGGTGTAGTCTCTCTTACTTACAGAACAATAAAATATAAAGAGCATAAAATATATATATAGAGCATAAAATATAATAGAGCATTGACCAATAAACTTAATAATACACTTCTTATATTAGCTTTTGTATTAACAGATTTATGTTAATTTATTTTTTATTAATTTTAATTCCTTTTACCTCAAAATATCGGAAAAAAAACTATTTATTTAATGTGATGAAAAGCTATTTATTATTTTGACAGATCCTATGACGTTGCATCAATTATGCTGCATGACTACTGTGAGGCTGTGTGTGAAGACGATATCAGTTGCATAAGATATGGATCATCGCAAACAGAAATGGTGGAAGTTAGAAGCATGTCTACTCAAACTGACGATGTAATGTTCCAGTGTTTGAATCCTGTGAAAACATCCTGTGCAATGACTCAGACTGAGACTGAAAATAAAAAAGTCTTTCGCAATCAAGCCACTCAAGTCAAGCTTCCTGATTTAACATTTTTTGATGTGACGAATGATTCAGAATTGGCAACTATTATACAGGTCTTGTGGATGCAGAAAAGTTTTCATGTTTATTTGACGAGTTTTCTGAGGTTCATGACAGGGACTATCCAACATCCAATATCGGACGCCCTAAATCTTTGTCTTTGATAGACGAGTTCTTTCTAGTGTTGATGCGTCTTAGACTTGGACTCCTAGTTGTTGATTTATCAAAGCGATTTCATATTTCCAGAAGCTGCTGTGCTGATGTCATTAATAGATGGATTGATATTTTGTACAACAATTTATCCTTCCTAGTTGTCTGGCCATCAATGGATACTATTAATACAACTATGCCTCAAGGTTTTAAAGACCTGTATCCAAATACAAGGGTTGTTATAGATTGTACAGAATTATTTACAGAAAAACCTTACTCTATTGGTAAACAGTCACAAATGTACAGACATTATAAAAGTCACACAACATTTAAAGCGCTTGTTGGTGTCACTCCAAATGGTGTTGTTAGCTTTGTCTCTGACTTGTGGTCAGGAGCTATAAGTGACCGGCAAATAACAGTAGAATCAGGACTTTTAGATTTGTGTGATGTAGGTGATGCAATCATGGCGGATAAGGGATTTACAATCTCAGACTTGACAACACCAAAAGGTATACTCCTAATAATTCCACCAAAGAAACATAAGAGAAAACAGCTGACTGCTGTAGAAATTGAACAAACTAGGAGAATAGCAAACTTGAGAATCCATGTTGAAAGGCACATGGAACGTGTCAAGAATTTCAGAATTTTGCAGGGTATAATTCCAATTACAATTTCAAAATCTGTAAAATCTGTAATGCTTTGACTACTCTGCTTCCCCCTCTTTATCCTCATGACCAAGAAATTGATGACAATTACTTCTTTGATAAAAGTTCCTTGCTTGCTCTGTAATTAGTAGGATTAGCATAATCTTATTGCAGCTCCAGATGTGAATGGTCACATGATATTTTCTGCTATATTTAAACTTAATAATCATGGTATCATGATAACAATTTTGTATTGAAAACATTGAGCCAAATAAGTCTAGACAAATAAGTCTATGTTTGTCCAATATGACTATTGACATGACCACCTACTGGTTGTCTATTTTTGTTTTACTTATTGAATCAAAGCATTGATATATAAAAATCCTGACTCTTCATATAAGTAGATAAACAATTTCATGTTTTAGCTGTGACAGCAGGATCATAGTCCCATGGTTCTAATCAGGGGTCTGGAAAATTTAAAATCCCAATCGGACATTTGCATTTAGGCCTAGAACTTCTAATTTTTGTAACAATAACTAAGACGTTACAGAAAATATGTTATGATATGTTATGGCTTAATAGAATGGTTCAAGAAATTACAAGGCGAAGAAGATATCCTATGTCTAAGTGACATACTATTTGAATGGTCAGTCGCCGTGAATGCGGCGTTAAGTAACAATTCACCCACTGAATGGTAAGTATCTATGACATTCAAAGAAAGATATGATATGGTATTGAGTGAAACATTGAATTGACTGAGTGAGCATAGGGTCAAACAACTGGTAAGATGGTAGTACAACATTCAATCTAATACAGTGAAACACCTCGCTGGACAAGTCGGGTATATTTTTCAGGAATAATGGCTGACAGATAGAAACTGCGAAGCCTTGTGACCATCTGATGCCACTTGTTCTCGTCAAATGTAATCCTTTCAATAGATATCCCTTTGAGAGTCCACACCACAAAATCACACCAAGTTCTTTTGGTCAAGGCCATCTGTCCTTGTACTTGAAAGTAGTATGCATGGTTTTCTTTTAGAGTCAAATTTTTGTCCACAATATGGCAGAAGAAATTTGTATTTGATGCAGCCTCTTCTGGTGTTAGATCTCTGAAAACAGATGGACATTTAATCTCTACTAAGCCATGTTGATTACTACATGTACTACAATCTGTGCATGACACAAGTCCCATCAGGGCTAGTTGCAAGGTAAGGGTAGTCTGTATTCACAATAAGTCCACACTGAGACACTTTCAACTGTGGATGAAGACCTGCCATTTTGTTGATATACTGCCGCCTTGCTGCAGATTCATGTGAAAGTCCCCATCTGGTATGTCTGTTACCAAATTTGCCCCGATATCCCATTAGGTCACATACAAGTCTATCTGGAGCTGTAGATGTCTGTCGGATAAATACTTTGCCAAACTGTGAACTTGTTATCCTTTCCAATTTGGCTTCCTTCCAAAACTTTGTTTTATGTTGTCCACTTGTCATTCTCTCTATTGACCTCGCATCCTTTTCTGACACTTTCATGGAATCAAAATAATTTTGAAAGGTAGTTTGACAGGTTGGCGATTTAATATCAACATAGTCAGGAATACAACGATCAATGCATGGTATTTTTGGAAGTTCTGGCATAGGTTCAGGAGCTTGAGTAACAGTAGTTGTATTAACAACATATCCACATTTACTTTTTGTTTCATGACCAATTAACTTCTTATTAAATCTTGTGAGATTTATTGTTGTCTGCGGCATGTTGCTGTAGGGACACATTGATCTTTTGTTGATTGTTCCATTCTGTATTCCAACAGTACCTTGTGTAGTCCCAGTACCTTTTTGTTGACTCTTCCTGCCACTTGACATCAGGTTCAAGTCATCCGATTTCATTGGATCCAACTTCCTTTTTCTGGGAATTTTCCACTTGCACTCAACTGATGTGCATGAAAGCAAACCATCCTTTTTCTTCTGACTAATGTCTGCAAGGGCATGAAGCAGGGCTGATACATGATTACAAGCCTCCCCGGCACTGCAAAAACAAAATTAGTTATATTTATTAATATTATTTGGACTCTAGCTTTAATATTATGAAATAACAATCAAATGCATATAAAATGACACAGTCATGTTTCCTCTATTTCACCCTAAATAATTATTATCTTTAATGTAATCAGCTAAAGATGTCACATATTAATAAGCAACAATATCAATAATCTGTTTATTTATTTAAATTAACAAAAGTGAATGAGAGGTCCCTCAAAGGAAGAGATTTTAAAATGTATCAATTACTTTGCTGGTATTTGGAATTAATAATTTACATGTCTTTTGATCAAACTTAATATTTGGAACATATTTTCTTTGAAAAGGTTTTTAAACGTTTTGTTTGTAAAAAAACAGCGATCTAGATATAGATGACACGACTTTAGTTATATAAATGCAAAGTCTACATACCCAGTTGCACAAGTACAATTTGCTGAATGAACACGACCTGTTACTTTTGAGAGACTTGCCCAAACTTCGTGATCGGGGCTTTTCTTAGGATCCGCTGTTGGTAGTGATGGTATGACACGGCATCTGACAAACATATGGTCACAGTCGTGATGGATGTTGTGAAGAGCTACGCCGTGAACATGTCTATCTTGGTAAAACACCACTGCCTTCATTTGTCGTTTAGCCATCATGGGTTTCGTGTCTGAAGTCCTATGGTTGCTAAGTACCATATAATTGTAGATTTCCTTCTCTGAGAATTCCGGCAATGATTCAACAGCATCGTTCCATACAATCATTAATGTAGTTGGGTCTTGCATTCGATATTCGCTTGGTGTGCCTAAACTTGTGCTCTTACCCCAGTCACCTTTTGATTTCGTTCCCGTAGGTATTCACGCAATTCTTTAACTGTCATTTTATGGAATTCACCATCAACGTCAATATTGTTATTTGCCGCCATTTTGAAGGTTTACTCGGCGGAAGTGAACGTGAAAAGGGGACATCACTCTAATTTTCTTTGCAAAGGGAGATAACAACACTTTTCGGAAAGTCGAATATTGATCAGTCTTTTGGGCATTGTTGAATATCACAGTATATTGCTAAGTCTCTGGAGAATTGAGGAATATGACAGTATATTGTTAAGTCTCTTGGGCATTGGGGAATATCACAGTATTTTGCTAAGTCTCTGGAGCATTGTGGAATATGACAGTATATTGCTAAGTCTCTGGGACATTTTTGTATATGACAGTATATTGCTAAGTCTCTGGGTCATTGTGGAATATCACAGTATATTGCTAAGTCTCTAGGGCACTGTGGAATATCACAGTATATTGCTAAATCTCTGGAGAATTGTGGAATATGACAGTATATTGCTAAGTCTCTGGAGCATTGTGGAATATGACAGTATATTGCTAAGTCTCTGGAGAATTGTGGAATATGACAGTATATTGCTAAGTCTCTGGAACATTGTGGAATATGACAGTATATTGCTAAGTCTCTGGAGAATTGTGGAATATCACAGTATATTGCTGAGTTTTTGGGGCATTGTGGAATATCACAGTATATTGCTAAGTCTCTTGGACACTGTGGAATATCACAGTATATTGCTGTGTCCCTGTGGCATTGTGAAATATCACAGTATACTCATAAGTCTTTTGGGCATTGTTGAATATCACAGTATTTCGCTAAGTAGCTGGGACATTGTGGAATATCACAGTATATTGCTAACTTTCTGTGGCATTGAGGAATGTCAAAGTATATTGCTAAGTCTCTAGGACATTGTGGAAAACCACAGTATATTGCTAAGTCTCTGGAACACTGTGGAATATCAAAGTATGTTGCTAAGTCTCTGGAGCATTATGGAATATGACAGTATTTTGCTAAGTCTCTGGGACATTGTGGAATATGACAGTATATTGCTAAGTCTCTGGAGCATTGTGGAATATGACAGTATATTGCTAAGTCTCTGGAGCATTGTGGAATATGACAGTATATTGCTAAGTCTCTGGGACATTTTTGAATATGAGAGTATATTGGTAAGTCTCTTGGTCATTGTGGAATATCACAGTATATTGCTGAGGCTTTGGGGCATTGTGGAATATCACAGTATATTGCTAAGTCCCTTGGACATTGTGGAATATCACAGTATATTCCCGAGTCTCTGTGGCATTGTGAAATATCACAGTATATTGATAAGTCTTTTTGGCATTGTTGAATATCACAGTATATTGCTAAGTCTCTGGAGAATTGAGGAATGTGACAGTATATTGCTAAGTCTCTTGGGCATTGGAGAATATCACAGTATTTTGCTGAGTCTCTAGGGCACTGTGGAATATCACAGTATATTGCTAAGTCTCTCCGGCATTGTGGAATATCACAGTATTTCGCTAAGTCTCTGGGACATTGTGGAATATCACTGTATATTGCTAAATCTCTGGAGAATTGTGGAATATCACAGTATATTGCTGAGTCGTTGGGGCATTGTGGAATATCACAGTATATTGCTAAGTCTCTGGGTCATTGTGGAATATCACAGTATATTGCTAAATCTCTGGAGAATTGTGGAATATCACAGTATATTGCTGAGTCGTTGGGGCATTGTGGAATATCACAGTATATTGCTAAGTCTCTGGGTCATTGTGGAATATCACAATATATTGCTAAGTCTCTCGGGCATTGTGGAATATCACCCTATTTCGCTGCCTCTGGGACATTGTGGAATATCACAGTATATTGTTAACTATCTGTGCCATTGAGGAATACCACAGAAAATTGCTAAGTCTCTGTAGCATTGAGGAATATGACAGTATATTGCTAAGTCTCTGGGTCATTGTGGAATATCAAAGTATATTGCTGAGTCTCTAGGGCACTGTGGAATATCACAGTATATTGCTAAGTCTCTCCGGCATTGTGGAATATCACAGTATATTGCTAAGTCTCTGGGACATTGTGGAATATCACAGTATATTGCTAAATCTCTGGAGCATTGTGGAATATGACATTATATTGTTAAGTCTCTTGAGCATTGTGGAATATGACAGTATATTGCTAAGTCTCTTGGACATTGTGGAATATCACAGTATATTGCTAAATATCTTGGGCATTGGGGAATATCACAGCATTTTGCTCAATCTCTGGGACATTGTGGAATATCACAGTATATTGCTAAATCTCTGGAGCATTGTGGAATATGACAGTATATTGCTAAGTCTCTGGGTCATTGTGGAATATCACAGTATATTGCTGAGTCGTTTGGGCATTGTTGAATATCAAAGTATATTGCTAAGTCTCTGGAGAATTGAGGAATATGACAGTATATTGCTAAGTCTCTTGGGCATTCGGGAATATCACAGTATTTTGCTAAGTCTCTGGGGCATTGTGGAATATCACAGTATATTGCTAAATCCCTGGAGAATTGTGGAATATCACAGTATATTGCTGAGTCTTTGGGGCATTGTGGAATATCACAGTATATTGCTAAGTCTCTAGGGCACTGTGGAATATCACAGTATATTGCTAAATCTCTGGAGAATTGTGGAATATGACAGTATATTGCTAAGTCTCTGGAGCATTGTGGAATATGACAGTATATTGCTAAGTCTCTGGAGAATTGTGGAATATGACAGTATATTGCTAAGTCTCTGGGACATTGTGGAATATCACAGTATATTGCTAAATCTCTGGAGAATTGTGGAATATCACAGTATATTGCTGAGTCGTTGGGGCATTGTGGAATATCACAGTATATTGCTAAGTCTCTGGGTCATTGTGGAATATCACAATA